CGATTACAAGAATCTACATGTGACCTCCTCCCTGGGGGACGGACAACAGAAAAGTGGGTGAAGGGAGATGTCAGACAGGGAAAAGAAATGACAAAATAATAATTTAAAAATTATCAAGGATTCATGAGGGAGGGGGGAGCCGGAAGGGAGGGGAAAAAATGAGGAGCTGATGCCAGGGGCTTAAGTGGAGAGCAAATGTTTGAGAATGATGAGGGCAATGAATGTAAAAATGTGCTTTACACAATTGATGTATATATGAATTGTGATAGGAGTTGTACGAGCCCACAGTAAAATGTTTTTTTTTAAAAAAGAAACACCTAGTTAATAAATTTTAGCAAAATATTCCACTTTCTTTCCACCATTCTTCCTTATCATCCATTCTGCTCATTCTCCAACACTGCCGCCATCGAGTTTTAACTCACAGTGGCCCTATGGGCAGAGAACTCTTCCTTAGGGTTTCCGATACTGTAAATCTTTATAGAAGCAGACTGCTTTATCTCTCACCTATGGTGCTGATGGTGGATTTGAACTGCCCTCTGGGTTAGCCGCCCACCACAACCCATTCTGCATCCAGGATTCCTGAATCCTCATCCTTCTATTGTTCTGCTTTGTGTTAATTCTTATCGTTGCTATTGTTGTCAAGCTCTTCCATTTTGTTTTAAGGAGTCCTGTTGCTCCTATTGAAGCCCTGGTGTTGTCTTAGTTGTGTGTTGGTCTTCAATCCAGGTGGTTGGGAGTTCAAAAACATCAGCAGCTCCTCAGGGGAAAGAATGGGCTTGTTACTCTTGTAAACAGTTACAGTCTCAGAAATCCCAGAGGGGTCGCTATGAGTCAGCACCCACTGGATGGCCGTGAGTTTGATTTGGAGTTTTGGCTGGGACGGTGGCATCAGACAGTTAGGCATCAGACTGCTAGCCACAGGGTGGGTGGTTCAAAGCCACCAGCCCCTCCTAAGGAGAAAAATGAGGCTATTTTCTCCCATAAATAATTATAGGTTTGGAAAACAGATATGATTTGGAAAAGCACTATAAGTTGGAACGGACTCAAAGGACAGTGGGCTTGGCTTGTTTGTTTGTTTGTTTGTTTGTTTGTTTGTTTGTTTTCTCCTGTCATCATATTCTTACCTTTATCCTGGTCCTGATCACTGCTCTTAGCCCCAGGTCTGTGTGGGAGTATTTCCCTAACCAAATAAATCCGTGGTGCTGAGAGACTCCTTGGTGGGCCAGAAGGCCCAGAAATGCAGAGCGGCCCAGGACACCGAGCCCTTTCTGGGCTGTTCCAGGCACCTCCACCATGTGCCCGTGTCCTGGCTTTGCCACGAACTTCTCTAAGCTGCCCTCTAGACCCTTCTCTCCTTTTCCCTCTTCTTATTTTTCCTTGTGCAGCTTTTATGTACCTTGAAGGCTTTCTTCTAAAAAGCATTGCTTGCCTTTCCCCGTCTAGACTCCAAAGACCCTCGCAGACCTTCATTGCCCCAGTGCAGCTCATTCATGGCACCTCTTTGTCTCCGGCAGGGCTAGAGGACTAGATGTCATGCGTCAGCTGTTTAATCCACAAATCACGTCAGTTTAGAATCAAAGCAAGTCCTTGAAGTCATTCAGTGAAATTCCCATTAGGAAACTGTGCAACGTGCCTACTAGTTGCTTGCGAAATACCTGCTGTGAGAAAAGGCTGTGGCATCAGCCCTGGGGTATCAATAGAAGGCAGAGATTTTGGCACCATTCACTTTTGTTTTTCAACGCTTCCTCTGAATAGTCCTGAGAAAGCTGTCTTCCAAGGGCAATGCTATCAGAGGGAAACCACAAGTTCCAGGCTAACAAGGGAGAGCGGGGTACAGAAAGGGCAGGATTCGTTACTGATGTAAGAACAAAAGCAATCGGCTGATATCATGGTCAAAGGAATGCGTATAAATCAGTAGGACCTCTTTCACTACGGAGAACTGTTGAGTCATGGAGAGAGTTGTCAAGGAACACTGAAGAATGGCTGCACTTGAGGCCAGCCACATTTCCGGGGTGGTTCAGGGGCGATTAACCTAGGTCTTCTTTATGGCGTGAAATAGAATGAATCTGTGATACGCATCTTCTGCAAACACTGGCATCTGGAAGAGGTTCGTGTTTCCTTTCAATGGAAAATGGAACAGGATTATAGAAAGCCAACCTGAAAAGATATTACTAACATAGCCACCGTCACATCCCCCTGGAAATTATGAAGAACTGAACTCACCATGTTTGTTACCAGGGCAGATGTTGTTTTTTATTTTTTATTTTTTTTAGTAAAAATACTTTAATTCATTTTTTGTTTCTCTGTTTGTTTGTTTTCCAGGCTTGTAAGTTTTATAGTTCTCAGTGGTATGTGGTCAACTACAAGTATGAACAATATTCGGGAGACATTCGACAGTTACCCCGGTAAGAGCCTGTTGTGAGCATGGGCGCAGTTTTTCATATTTATGTCTTTTCTGTTCACATTCTGCTATTGCACAGGAGTTCATATTTATCAATCCTGCATCAAGGCACTTGGCTAAACTTTTTTTTTTTAAGTCACAACAGAACACCTTATCCAGCAATATGTACGTCTCTATGGTTACCAAGTTAGAAGCAAGATGTAACTATGTTATGATTTGCTATTTTGACCTAATTCTTGAGGTTAGAGGGTCATCATGTGATTCACTTAGGAGCTTTCTGTTCAATAGGAGTTACACAGGGATCATTGTTGTGATTGTTGGATATTCAATTGGACTAATTGTGAACCATGTGAAAGAACCACATTTAAGAGAATTTTCTTGGCCAGAAGCTTCCTGGGAGGAGTTCACAAGGTCTTTCTTCTCAGAGCGACTAGGCAGTCTAAGCCATCCACCTTTTTGATTCCCAATCAAGTGCTTAGCAGTTATACCACCAGGGCACCTTGTAAGAAGATGAGAGAAATATCATTTTGGGGGTGGGGGGGTGTTGTTTGTTTTATTCAAAGTTTTTATTGGCATATAGTTTGCATATCATACAATTTAATAGTTAAATCATATCAAGAGGAGCTGAACCATCCTCACCACAGTCCATTTTAGAGCACCTTCTTCTTTCCTGTACGCACTGTTATTAGCTCCCCATTCCCAAGCATGCTTCCACAGAATCATTAATCCAGTTACCGTCCCTTTAGATTTACCTATACTGGATTGCATGTACAGAAAACATTAGAAGGGAGGGGGAGGGGAGCAAACAGTAACAAAGTAAACCAGATAAAAACCCCAATAGAAAAGAAAGCAGAAAATATTAAAAACTAGAACAAATTTAAATGGATCCTAAGGGAGATCAAATGATAGGGAGCTAAATATGAACTACATGCGCAACAATCCACTTTCTAATGACTCCATCTGCCGTTATCGACTTTACATGTTCCGTCTGAAAACAGAGATCTCAAATATGATCAGAGGGCATTTGTCAGAGGCTGAATCCATGTGTAGATCCTGCAAATGGATGTTGGGCTTCCACTGTCACCAGTAGCCTTCTGCAAACCAGTTGTTCATGATTTAAGCTCTGATAACGTTCCCTCCTTTATATTTTATTATTTACAATCCTTGGGTCACACAGGCTGGTGTGCTTCTTCCATATGGACTCAATTGGCACCTCACTTACCTGGCTGCTTGTTTGAAAGTAAACTTTTAAGACCAAGATGCCATTTTGATATTCTTTTCTAATAGCTGGGCACCATCTAGTTTCCTCACCACACTTTCCTATAACACTCTTGTCTTCAGTGATCTCATGAAGGCAAGCATCAAGCAGGGCCATGTCATAAAAACTTATTGTTCTTGGATCGGAGCAAGAATGAACTGCAAGCTCTAAATCCATTCTTGCATTTATGGTTTCTATAGGTCTCTGGTTCACCATAGAGGCATCCTTGCCATTTTATGTAAGAAAACACTATTGATCATTCCTGTAGAGCACCCCTTCTATTACCATCAAGTCTATGGCGACCCTGTAGGGCAGGGTAGAACTACCTGCCCCCATGAGTCTCCAATCCAGTCCTCACAGGAGCAGAAAGCCTCATCCTTCCTCTGCAGAGTTGGCTTGTGGTTTTGAACTGCTGACCTTGTGCTTAGCCATCTACTCATAACCACTACGCATTGATAATGTCAGAGAAGTACAATTTGGGCCAATTAACTTTGACTGACTATGTTCTATATCTAGCATTCAGATGTGCCAACTATTTCCCATATTTTTATGGAAGGATATAAAACCTCATGAAAAAAAATAACAATCTCCAACGCCAAGAAATGTATCTAAAAAGGACAACAGCTGGCTGTTTTCCACTGACTCTTGGAAATAGAAGCCTTTTGGAGAAGGTGCTTCTTCCCACAGTAGCTGCTCAAATGGGACCTTGGTGGCAGCCTATCCAGCTGTGGGCACTGAAGAAGCCCCCTAGCTAGTGTCTGCTCCTCTACCAACGTAAAGAGCCCCAAAGGGCAGGTGGTCGGGGAGGGGGGGGGCGGGGCTACTTCAGAATCCCTTTGAGACCAACGAGAGTTCAGCATGTTTTACTTTAGAATCTGCTTTAGGCTGTGAGACCTCTGATGTACAGTATTTTACTTCAGAATCCCCTTTCGGCCTACAAGAGCCCTGGCAAACAATAGGGAATGCAATAGTTATTTATTAGATAAATAAACAAAGTGGAATTAAACCTATTTCTGCATGGGATTGGGGGTGCTCCAATTCAGAGGACTGCGTTGAACTGGGCAGTTGAACTCCCAACGCAGTGGCTAGTCAAACTATGATGGTCCCGTCAATCCAGAAACCTGCTTCAAACAGTCCAAAATCAACCTTTCGTTAACAATTTATCAAGTGAAAAGAGAAGACGATTTACATGTGAATGTACTGTGTACCTAAACGTTTGGTTCAAAATTGAGCATCACATTCTGAGAGGTGTTGTCCCCTAGAAAAAAAAATGTTGTCCAGACCTAAGAGTCTAGAAATACTGCTCTCAACGCCGGGATGCCTGCCGACATAGAGGGAGGGGTCTGAAACAGCTGCCTGAGAAGATGGCCCTTGAACTCAGACTCGGGAATGAACCGAGTTGCGAGCTCTGTGATCCAGTAGCCAGGGTTCTGGAAGGACAGGGAGAACGGCCCAGGAAAGAGACCCTGCAGTGCAAACCACAGGAGTGGCTGAGAGGTAGAACCATCAGAGAAGTTAGAGCTATGGGGAGGAAAAAGCACAGGCACAAATAAAGCATCAGTAATTCCCATTCAAGGAGACCCCAGGTGTGGTACAGTAGAAGGGTGTGCCATTGAATGCCCAGCAGCTGCCTTTTCAGAAGGAGGCGCTTCCTTTGGGGGCCACCTCTGGTGGATTCGAACCACCATATTTCCAGTTAGCAGCAAGTGTGTTAACCATTCGCACACCACAGGGGTGGAGAGGATTGTTAGCACGGGAAACCATGGAAGCAGACAGGTGGCGCTGTGGATCCTGGGAAAGACCTTACAGTAGGAAGCTTTCAGGCACTTTTAGCCAGAGTGTGATGTACTATAGGAAAACCTACTGGGCTAACCACTGGGCTGTTAATCAAAAGATCATCAGTTCAAATCCACCAGCTTCTTCGTGAGAGAAACCTGAGGCTATCTGCTCCCACAAAGATGTACAGGCTGGAAGATCCTAGGGAGCAGCTGTACTTTGTCCTGTAGGCTCACTCTGAGCTGAAACTAGCTGGATGGCCCTGGGTTTATGCTGTGCTCTGGGTGTGCATTATAAAAGCTAATGAGGCTACTCTGTGGAGCGGGAGGGTGGGCATCCTTTTTGAGATGCACGATGCGAAGAGCAAAGCAATCTTCTTCCCAAATAGCAAATCCCATTTCAGAGCAGGGCGATGGGCTTTTACCAAAGCTCTGAGCATTCCTTTAGCCCTGAGTCACTCGCTCTGAGTAGAAAATCCCTGGTAACTTCCTGTTGGGAGGGCTCCATCCCATGCGAGGCTTTTGTGACTAATTAATATTTGGGTGTTAGTCATACTGTTGGGGTTGGATTTTTTTTCTTTCTGTAGACATAATGAGAAAGCAGGGCTTTTTCTTTTTTCTTTTTTTTTTAACATCCAGACTTCCTCTTTCTGAAAATGGTTTGAGACGTGGTTACAGGGTGGAAACTGGGCAGAGCAGTTGGAAGGCTGCATGGAAGAGGGTAGTGAAAGCACATACCACTGCCTTCTGGTAGACTCAGATTCCTCAACTTGCCACCGAGTCAAGCCTGACTCACAGCGAGACTCTAGGGCCGAGGGGAAGAAGCCCATAAAGATTTCTGAGACGGTACATCTTCATGAGAGTAGACAGCCTCGTCTTCTCCCAGAGACCAGCTGGTGCATTTGAACAGTGAGCCGGACAGTTAGCCCAACACTCACCCATAGGGCCACCCGGCCTCCTTCTGCTGAGAGAGTGCAGGTGGTGGCATTTAGCTGGCCTCTTGAATAAACCCCTTTCCATTTTCTCCAGGTCTGTCAAAGATCGGTAATAGCTCTAACGACAGGCTTTACCTTTTCTTATTGTGCCTAATTCCATCAAAAGAAGTCATTGCATCCCCTTAGAGAAGGGTCACAAGGAAGAGACGAGCCAGTCAGGGTGTAGTATAGCACTGATGAAACACACAGCTTTCCTCTAGTTCTTTAATGCTTCTCCCCCCTCCCACTATCATGACTCTAATTCTACCGTACAAATCTGGCTAAACAAAAGCATGTGCATGGGTACAGATAAGAGCTGGAAACACAGAGAATCCAGGACAGATAAACCCCTCAGGACCAATCATGAGATTAGCCATACCAAGAGGGGAAGGGGAAGATGGGCGGAGAAAAGGGAACCAATCGCAATGATCGACATATAACCCCCTCCCAGGGGGGGATAAACAACAGAAAAGTGGGTGATGGGAGACAGCAGTTGGCTTAAGACATGAAAAAAAATTATGTTATCAAGAGTTTATGAGGCAGGGAAGGTGGAAGAGGGGGTAAATGAGCTGATACCAAGAGCTCAAGTAGAACGAAAATGTTTTGAAAATGATGATGGCAACACATGTACAAATGTGCTTGACAGAGAGGGTGGATGGATGGATTGTGAGAAGAGCTGTAAGAGCCCCCAATAAAATGATTTTTTTAAGTCAATGAAAGATTCCACATTCAAGTCCCCTCCCCCTCTTAGCCCAGGTGAAAGAGCAGACTTTAAATACTGTGACTGAGTCTGGTGTTCCAGAGCCCGTGCAAGGAAAAGAAACTCAAGAGGAACGGAGATGTCATTGGGGATGCCCCGTACTGTAACTGAAGGAAGCAAAAGTGGGTCCTAAGATGGGGAAGCAAAGCAGGCGCGCATGGTAAAGTGCTTGGATGGCCTATCTGTGCTCAGCAGGACAGTGCAGAGGCCCGGAAATAGAATTCTCTCCCCTGTGCTCAGCAGTAAGGCAGACTGTCTCAGGGAGTACCTCAAAACCAGACTCACTGCCATCGAGTCGATCCTGTGGCAGGATTAGAACTGCCCCTGTGGGTTCCCAAGACGGGAAGGCTTGGGGAATAGCAAGCCTCGTCGGAGTGGCTGGTGATTTCGAACGACTCCCCTTGCAGAAGGAAGCCCAACCCAAAACTACCCCACCACCAGGGCTCCATGCTGTGTGTTAGCGGGTTCGTGAAAATGATGCCCACGTCCCTGTGACTGGGTATTAAGCACTTACTCTGTCCCAGACCCTGTGATGGAAATCGCACTGAAATTCCTAGTCCCTGCTAGTCTTCTTTAAGTACAACTCTTAGCATGGGAAGGTACTCCCCTCTGTTGGGATGGCAGCGATACTATGCAACCTATGTCAACTGGAACTTGGAATTGATATGAGACTTCAGCTGTCACCCTGACCACTCAATGTCAAGTATTGTGTTGCTCCAACGAGCTGCGTTATTTGCTTTTGTTGATTTTGGCAGTTAACAGCCAAACGCGTAACCGCTATGCCACCAAGGGTCCCTATCTTATGCACACGTAAAGACCCTTGGATATTTATCTTGCTATTTGGAATACCATCTGCTTCGGAATCTGTTTGTGATGGGAATACTACATGTGCATCTTGTCAGTAGATGGTAAGGTGATTCTACACAATAGCAACCATCTTAAAGAAGGAAAACCATCAATGAACTTCCTACATGTTGGATTTTCTATAGTAAACGGTGTCAAATAGCTGAGCAGCAAATGGTGCCTAGACCTGTGGTGCTATTACTCTACGTAATTTTCCAATCAATCAGTAGATATGAGATAGAACCACCGCTGTTAGATAGGTTTGATATAGGACCATGGCAAAGACAACTTATTTCTGGTTTATTTACCATTTATAGAGCCAGGTGTACATCCTTACTAACCTAGGCTGGTCAGCGATCCTGTGACACTGGCGGGTGAGATACCAGGGAAATGCACAAAAGAACCCAGGTGTCTCTAAGTGACTGTGGTGCTGCTTTGATAGGCAGGCCCTGGTTAGGGAACATCACCACCTAGTGGCCTGAATATAAACTGCTTCTCAGGAACATAGGTCTACATGCTCTTCAAAGGACAGCCCTAGAGCCTTCCTTGAGCTTGTCACGTGTGGCAAAAGAAATGAAACAGAAAAGGTACTTAAATACTCACTGCGTAATATTACATTTCAATATACGGAGGAAATACATTATAGACAAACTTATAAAACTTCCCTTAGTGTTTTCATCAAGAATGTACCTGCAAAACTCTGCAAACAGAAGCGGGATATTGATTTAGTGGAGATAGGATGCTATGTTGGGGTACTGTCAGAGGAAAGCGACATTTCATGTCTCTATATATGGTATAGCATATTTATTCAACCCAAACTCACTACCATAGCATAGATTCCAAGTCATAGTGATCCTGTAGGACAGGGTAGACCTGCCCGTGTGGTTTTTTTAATAGGAGTAGAAAGCCTCACCTTTTGCTCTCAGAACAGCTGGTGGTTTTGAACCAACAGGTGACCACTCTGCCACCAGGGCTTGATAGATGATAGATAGATAGATAGATAGATAGATAGATAGATAGATAGATAGATAGATAGATAATATAAGTAGATAGATAATTTGTGTGTGTATAATAATCTTGGTACAATCATTATTACCTTGAGAACAGTGGACCATGAAAGCAATGTCTCATGATGCATTATATTCTTCTTCCCTTTTTAATTTTAATATCAGAGCAGAATACAAACCAGAGAAACTCCCTTCCCATTCCTTTGAGGTGGACCATGAAGATGCCGATAAGGATGAAGTGAGTACATTGCTGAAAGTCCCGTGTTCAAACCATGAGGAAGGTGTGTTCCTGTCTTTCACGAGAAGGCTTCTCATTCTGGCTGCTCTTCCATCAGCTGCAATGTCTTTGTTTGGTTAGAGGGCTTTTAGTCAAGATGAATGACATTCGTGTTGAAAGTGAACCGGAGCATTTGCGATGAGTCAGGGTGGGAGGAAAGCATCTCACTTTTAAGTGCAGTATCTGGGAGCTATGATCCACAAAAGAAGTCGCTGTGTTGCTAATGCTGCCTTTTGTACAGGATACAACATCCCACTCGTCCTCCAAGGGTGGCGGCGGGGCCGGAGGAAGTGGAGTGTTCAAGTCTGGCTGGCTCTACAAAGGAAACTTTAATAGCACCGTGAACAACACAGTCACTGTTCGGGTAAGGGGACAGAGAGACTCATCTTGGATTCTGTCACCTTTCTTCATCCCCCCCCCCACACACACACACACACTTCTGGTGGGAACCCAGAGGAGAGCCCTTGCTCTTAAGGGCATAGTTTATAGCTTCCTTTACTTATGAGACTGTAGGAGGCGCTTCTCTAGAACGGTGTCCCAGAAATCTAGCACCCCGAAGGAACTAGAACAGTCCTGATCCCCATGAATGAGAGTACTCGCCACGTGGACTGACGCCTCTGATCTCCTCTCCCTTCGTTTAGTCGTTCAAAAAGCGCTACTTCCAGCTCACCCAGTTGCCAGACAGCTCCTACATCATGAATTTTTACAAAGACGAGAAGATAGCCAAAGAGCCCAAAGGCTGCATCTTTTTGGATTCCTGTACAAGTGTGGTGCAGGTGAGGAGAAATCCCTTGTGACCCCCGGGGGATTTTGATCCAAATACGTGTTCCTCCGCTCATCAGTTATCCATTCAACAACAACTCCAACACCTCCTGCAGGCCCGGCATTTGTCTAGATCAGCGGTTCTCGACCTTCCTCATGCCGGGACCCTTTCACACGGTTCCTCACGTGGTGGGGACCACCCCCCCTCCAACCATAACATTATTGTCATTGCTACTTCATAACTGTTAGTTTGCTATGATTAGAGTCAGGTGACTCCTGTGAAAGGGTCATTCCACCCCCAAAGGGGTCGCAACCCACAGGTGGAGAACTGCTGGTGTAGACCCTAGAGATTCAAGGTAGAGCCAGGTAGTCTAGTGTAAGGGTTTTGGGGGTGCGAAGAGGAATTAAAGATTCAATTGGTAAAGTTTTAGAAGCAGGCTTTATTGAGAAGCTTGCGGGCGGGTTCAGCAACTCAGGTATTGAGCTGGTGAAACCGCGCAAGGGGAATTTCTGGCTGCGTTTTTATATCCCCTGGTGGCAGGCACAGCTGCACACAGGGGCTTCAAAGGGAAGCGCTCATTAATCTTATCTATAGGTCCGGGACGGGTGGAATAAACACATCTTCAAGGAACGTTAATCTTATTATAGGTACAGGGCGGGTGGAGTAAACATATCTTCAAAGAACATTCTTTCTTGGGGATGTCTGGTTCTCAGAACTGGTGATTTTCAGCGAGGGGAGGGGAGACCGATGTGAGGGATGCCCATGAGGTGAGTTCTAAGAACCAAGAAGGTGCCGGATTCAAAATGGAGTCCCTTGTGCCAAGGCCAGGCATCTAGGTCCCTGTTTCATCCCTGCTTTCTTTCCCATCTCAAAGGACAGCAAGGAAGTAAGCAACAGAATGGAACCAAATGGTGAACTTTCCCAGGAAGAAAACAAACACGCATCATGGAAAGGGAGAGTTGAGGAGTGAGGGTGGAAAGGAAGCTTGGTGGTGGTGGTAGGTAGGCACCTGTGTGTCGGTTCTGTAGGGACTGATGGACTTAAAATCGGCAGGTCACAAGGCAGTCTCCAGAGGCGAATGAATCCCAGATAGGCAGGTAAGACGGTTGTTTGTAACTCCCAGGATCAGCAAACAATACAGCAGACCACTGGCTCAAACCCAAAGAAACAGAGCGACACAGGAGCTGACTCAGCATAAAACTAGCTTTATTTCACACCGTCCACTTATATGGGAAGCAGGGCACACTCTCTGAGAATAATAGTATGATATCTCTTACTACAGGACACATTGTTTGGGGCATTAGGGGCCATGGAGTTGCTTCTGACGCGTAGTAGCTCCATGTGCAACCGAGCGATGAAACACTCCCGGGTCCTGCGCCATCCGCACAGCTGTCCTTAGGTTTGAGCCCCTTGCTGCAGCCACTGTGCTCATCCGTCTTGTTGAGGCCTGCCTCTTCCTCGCTGTCCCTCCGCTGTACCAAGGATCGCATCCTTCTCTGGGCATGGGTGTGCCCTGACAAGGTGTCCAAAGTAGGGTGGATCACTATGTCTAACGGCCAAGCCACTGAGAATTCTGACCCGGACAAGTTAACACAGAACCTTCACTATCGTCCCAGCCATGCTGCTCTTCTCTAGAAGATAGTCCCTTCTGACCACAGGTCCGAGCACGTGAGACAGAAGCTTGCCCTCTTCCCATTGAAGGCACATTCCGGCCGTACCTCCCCCCTTGCAAAGTTAGTCTTCCTCGGTTAGTCCGTGGGAGAGGTCATACTCTTTGCGAAACGGTGTAAGTCAAATCCATCCATTCTTCCACGGCATTCGTTCTTCATTGTCCAGCTTCAGGGGTGCATAGCATGTGATGGAAAATACCATGATCCAACCATGTGCAGAGCACGAAAGACTTGGATTGGGCTTGATGTGAGTCAGTCAGTGGCCAAGAATGTGGCTAACCAGTGTCTCAACATGAGGAGTGGGCTAGGTGTAGCCATCCAGAAGGCCATGGACCATGGAGGGTAAGTTCCAGAAGAGAACAGAGCCAGTCTGGTACCTTTGGCTTCGAGAGCTGCTGTAGGAAGTGGAGAAGCCAGTGTACCCCGTGCTCTCTAGCACATGTGTGGTGCTGGGCCACGTGTCAAGAGGGGAAGCAATGCCAACAAGCTCTCTATGCCAGGTGGTTGCCAAGAGAAGTCACCCGCCCTGTGACACTTTGGCCTACGGTGCCTGTCACTGAGTCTAACCTCTTGAGCTGTTCCTTCATCATGGGTTCCAGCTGCTGCAAGGTTACCAAGGTGCCGACAGCCAAGGAAAACCATTGCTTGGAGCTCATTCTGACTCAGTTGTCCAAGTTGTCTCGCACAAGCAGAGGTCCGGATGCCTCGTGTCAGTGGAGTCTCCGGATGAAGTTTCCCGGATGAAGCCTGCTCCCAGGCTCTCGTGGCTCATTCTCAAGTGCCGCCAGCGACCGCCCTCCAGCTGACTGGCGCTGTAGCTGCTGATGTCTGAAAGGATGCGGTAAAATTTGTTTCTGGCCACAAGCCCAATGGCAGCGAGTGGATATTTAGGGCTTCCACCTTTTGTGCGTGAACTGCGATACAGAAGGACGTATGACACAAGCGGGCTGAACATTTCCTCCATTCAGGCAGCAAGCATGTAAAAAGCAAAAAGCTCTGACATGTATCTTTCATGTTTTTTATTTCCCGAGGAGGTGAAACAGCGTGGTCGTAATCCCTGCGCCATGGTACTTGCTCCCACCTCGCCTCAAGTTCATCCAAGGCGCTGTTTAAGGGAAAAGAAACATAAGGCAAATACAATGGCTGCTATAAAGTTTCCCCTTTGTCCTCAAAGTGCTTTTTAATACTTTAGACTTGCCCGAGGTCCTGACTGCTCCTTCCCTGGGCATCGATGGTGGATCCGAGTAAGATGAAATATAGACAGCTTCCATCGTTTCTCCGTCCATCACACTGTGGCTTCGTGGGCCCACTGTAAGGGTCTGGGTTTTTGTTTTTATTGCTGAGGCATGACCCTTCGCGAGCGCTGTATTATTTGATCTCCGACAGTGAATTCTCCAAACCCTCTTGCCTTTCTTCCTTTTCAAAGAGTTCTGCTGCTCGATTTACCCCACTTGGAAAGGCACCGTACCACTTGAAAAATGAGAACAGCGTTTTAGGGTAGAAATCACGTAGTCTGAAACCCCTGTGAGTCAGAACGGACTTAAGGCTGTGAACTAGGAGGTGCTGGGAGAGCGGAGGCAGATTCTACGTGCGGGCAGTGCTTGTGTTTCTGTTCTGTTCTGAAGTTTGGCAGGGCAAGTTTACGGCAACCTACATTTTGTTTGTTAGTCTAATTTTTATTTTGCCTTACGCTACCACGCGGCCCAACAAGGCGCTGTTTTGAAGATAAGCTATAGGACAGTTTACCTGTACAACCTTCACCCTGAGCTCGCAACATGACATGACTTTAAGCATCTGGCCACAAATATTGAACTATTTCAGACTTTAGTAGACACCTTGTCTACAGTGCTTCACCTAGGTCAACCACCAAATGATAGACGTCTCACTGATCGATGAAGAATCCGGCAAAATCCTTTCTCAGGTGAATATCCTGGAATAGCTTGTACAATAAAAAGGAAGTCAAGGCTAAAGAGTGGAAACATTCTATAGTCCGGATGCGAGCCTTTAACAAACCAAAAGTCAAACTGAAGCCTTTTTATCCAGCTAATGGCAACTCAGAGCAACCCTTTAAGAAGAGTAAAATCTCCCAAGGGGTTTCCAAAGCTGTAAATCTGGATGAGTACAAACCGCCATAGCTTTCTCCTACAAAGTCATGGGTGGGGGGCGGGGGGATTCATGCCCCCAACCTTTCGTGAGCAGCCAAGCACTCAAGGAGTGCACTCCAGGGCGTCTGCCTCTAATAAGGAAGCCAAATGATTCCCTGACTCACACTGAGCCCATTGCAATGGTGAGCTCCAAATACTCATCCGTTGTGTTCCTGAGAGTCTGATTCTAGTGACTTCCTTGCATTTACTCACATAGCTAGCTCACCAGCATTGATGTAACCAGTTTTTACCTGTTTTGTAAAATCATTTTATTGGGGGCGATTCCAGCTCTTATAACATTTCATACAGCAATCGTTTCAGCATATTTGTACATATGTTTCCATCATCATTTCCAAGACATTCTCTTTCTACTTGAGCCCTTGGTATAAGCTCCTCTTTTTTCCCCTCCCTTCCCCCAAAGTGATGAATTAAATACATTCTCCCTGATGTTCTTGGAGACATTATCCTGTGAGGGAAGCGGGCCTGTGTGGGAACAGTTTCACAGGGAATCAGCTGGCCGACCCAATCCGACATCAGGCTAAGTAGTGGATGAGCAAAACAAGCAACGTAACCCCTGACTTCCCCTTCTTTTCGCTACAGTGGGGAGAAAGATAAGTCTTTCCACTTCCAGAAGGAGTTGCCGTCTCAGAACCCCCTCTAGGGGCGGTCCGATCCTGTGTCCTGTGGTTGCTGTAAATCAGCATCGGAAGCAGCTTGATGGCAGCGAATTGGTTGTCTGTCTGTTTGGTATTTACCATGATTCTGCTGTCTTCCTGATGCTGAACACGTGGGATTTCATGGGTTCTTTTAGGTCAAAAAATCTTGAGCTACGTAACTCGATCCCATGAAATGATAATGCTTTTGATTACTCCCATTTAAGTCATTCGGTTGGTCAAAATTGTGTCGAAATTTTGCCCAGCTGTAGGTCATTTTAATCCTTCCACGCCACTGGCATTCCGAGATTGAAATCACCAGTCCACATGCTGGTTAAGAGCAAGCGCTTTGAAGTGAAAATGCCTGGGCTTCATTCGAATCACAGCTGGGTACTCACTTGTCCTCGCAACATCACCTTTGTCTTTAAAGCAACAGTAGCAGAAACACTAGCAGCGTTATCATAAAGTTAAAGCAGTGGTCCCACTTTAAAGTGGGACCCACAGTGGCATCAATATCATAAAGTTAAAGCACTAATGAAAATCCTT